GGTGCCCTCTCCCTGGATGGGGTTGGTCACGCTGGGCAAAGGCTGTAAGCATGGCTTCCTTAGACCCCCACGATGCCCTCTGAGACCCCTCAATTCCACATCAAATCATCTGCTTCTTTTTTCTTTACATATAACTCTTATTTGGGTAGCATTTCAACAGTGGTCATAACAGTTCGCTTTTATCAAGAACCAAAAGCTGGACCAGCACTGGACATCTACTACATCCCTGGATTCTCAAAACAGCCCTCCAGAAGGCACACAGTTTACCAAGGGAACTGAGGAGCTGAAAACGCCGCCCACAGTTACACAGCAGATACGTCACACGGTTACACTTCCTCAACACTCAGATGCAAGCCTCTTGCAATCCAAGTGCACACCGAATGCCATATTGCTTCTTTTTTTCTCTCTCAAAGGGCTGTTATTAAATCAAGGATGCGTCTTACTCTCACCAGTATCTTAAAATAGATGAAACACCATTGTGTCATAAATCGTAGTAATTCCCATTGGCCAAGTGTCTACCTCGTGGTGGTGTCTGCTCTGTGCAGAGTTTCAGAGCATCCCCCATCTTCATGCCAACACCCCAAGTTTGGGAGCTAAGGCTTAGAGAGGACAAGTAACTCACCCAGGGTCACAAGCTAACATGTGGCATGTGTGGGACTCGAACCCAGCACAGTCTGACTCTGAAGCTGTGCTTTTTCCAATGTATCAGACTTTGGAGCCCTCTGAGCTGCTGGGCTTGTTTGTATCCAACATGTCTGAGGCCCTGCAATGAGCTATGACTCAAGCAGCCAGCTGGGCTAGAGAAGGAGAGCTGTTAAGAAAATAAAGTTACCAGGCCTAAATTATGTTCGGAGCTCACCAAGGTAAAAGAAGTATGAATCCTACTTTGTGGAGACATTGGGGCTGGGTGTGAGCTGCTGCTAGGAGCAGGAGACCGCTGATCACTGCCCTGTCAGCCCTGTCAGGAACACCCCTGGCTCGCCCGACTGTCCCGGGCCCTGGTCCCTGACCCCCACCCACGCCCTGGCAGCTGGGTGGTGCGGGCAGGCGGGAGAGCTGGAAGCAGATCAGGAAGAACAGAGCCCTCATTCATGAGCATGTTTATGAAAAAGGAAAAAAATGTGTGTCAACTGCGTGATGAAACTCAAACCCTTAGCACTTAATGAGAAATAAGAGTTAGGAACAAGATGGCAGAAGGCCTGGGAGTTCATAGTATGTGTGGAAAATGGCCCAAGTCAGGGGCTGAAGTGGAGAGCAGAGGCCGAAGCGGAGAGCAGGGCCCATCTCTTGCCTGGTGGGACCCTGCCTCACCCAGAACAAGGAACCCCCCTCCAAGAACCTGGGGAGGTGCAGGCCCTGGGCTGATATGTCACTGGGAGGGCTGACCTGTCCCTGAGAGGGCTGTCCACCACTGCTGGGACAGAGGAGCACCTCTTCCCCACCTTCAATAAACTCAGAGGGCTGAGACGTGCCTCTGAGCAGTATTTGGAATTTCCTTGGCTGGGGGTTGCTGTATGTGGTTATGCGCTCACCCGGCCTCTGCTGCAGGGACCACGGGGCAAGGCTGGTACTGACCCCCAGGGGAGACCCAACTTTCCTCTCTGGGGCCAATGCGAGGACAGAGGGAGCCTTTTGGGTGCTGCCTCCATGTTTTCCTTCAAATCACTAAAGCTGCTGCATAACACAGTGCGTGTGTGTGTATGCATGCATGTGCACACGTGTGTTCACCTTCACAGACAGGCCTTGCTGCTGGCATCCTGAGGCACCCCCAGCCCATCGCCAGCTCCCCAGGCCACCAGGACCTGACCCCCACCTCTCTAAACCCTGAGCATACTCCAGGCAGCAACATGATCATGACTGAGGATGAACAAGTGCTACACAGCCGCATGACAAGGACACAGGGACTCACTTGAGAAACCCCAGCCCACACTGACAATACCCCTGGTGCCAGGCTTCCAAGCAGCCTCCCTCAGATGCAGAGTCCTTGGTGCCCCTGGCTTTGGATAGGTTTCCGAGCATCAGTTGGACATGAAAACACGGGCATACCCCCAATCCATTCCAAAAAGTCCAGCAACCACCACTGATTGCGTCTGGTCAAGGATTAACCCCCCTCGCAGCACGCACACATTCCAGAGCCACACAACTGAGACTCAGGGAGGGGCAGTGATAGGCCCGAAGCATCTGGCTCAGAAGGGGCACCGCCCAGAGCAGACCTGGGCCTCATCTCCCGCCTCCTTCTCGAGACCTTCCCCCAGCCCAGTCTGCACAAAGCAGAGGGTGGGACAGACCTTGGCATGGTATAGTAATGCCGTTTTCCAAAAAATACTCCCCTTACAGAAGATACCTACATGCACACACAACCACACACAACACAAATGTGCACACGCAACCACACAGACACCCAGGCCCAGGGGCACAGAGATGTACAGCCACGC